ATATGGCATACCTTTGTTGTTGTGTCCTTGGTTTCAAACATGTTAAAAAAATTCAGAGATGATCTACCAGTAGAGATGGCAATCTGCTTACACATTTGAGCAATCCAAAGTGGTTGTAGAACATACCTTGTGCAGTGACAACTTGCCAAATTCAAGGTATGAGGAAGATTCAAGCTGAATGGCAGTGGGAGGGAAGGAGATGGTAAGAGACTTGCTGGAAGCTGCCTATCTGTGTCAAAGGGTCTCCTGTTTGCAGTTTTGGACAGGCACTGCTGACTCACAGCTGAACTAACTACTTAAGCTGAGAGTTTCTAACAGATTAACTCTTTCTGTAGCTTTTGCTAAATAGACTTGGCTTATCTGTGGGTATCTGTAGAAAAGTTGTACATGGGTTGTGGCATGTTTGCGACAGACTGTGGCTCTGGAACATAAACTATTAGCTGAGTTAAAATAGAAATTTCTTTGGCTTATGAAGCATCATGGAATTATGTATCCCATGGGAAAACAGGGAGTGCAGTCCTGTATACACATGCTGCCGTATGCCCTAGGACAGAAGATTCCTTTTTAATTTTTTTTCCCCTTCTCTTAGAACTGAAGAGCAGCCAGACGCAGTTCCTGGGGGTTTTCTTGTTGGTTTTGATTTGTTTCAGATCCAGATTTCTCTTCATATTCTCTCTTATCACAGCTACACATTCTCCTGGAAGGATAGGTACACCTGGACACATGGGTGTAAAGACCATGAACAACTTGATTGAATAGCTGCTGTTAAGTTACACAATTAAAGTGCAATAAAACATATTAAGGATATAGAATTTCAATATGAAGTATTTGAACACAAATAGCTGGGAAGCAATTTTTTGTCACTTCAGTGGAAGAGACCTTATGTGGTAAGGTGTAAGTAAACTATTTTGACAGAATTGTTAGGTTCTGTTCAGACATCAAGCTTAATGGGACATTAAAGGTGAAAAAGTCCTTTAAGGAGTCATCTGAAGCTCTTCAGTATATGTGGTTTTTCTTGGTCACCTATACTAAGATTCTAAGATAACTTATCCCTGCCCTTAGGGCAGAGTTAGAGCAGGTCCCTGATGAATGCATTTACAAAGAAAAAAAAACAAAAACAAACAAACAAAAAAAAGCCCTCCCAGGTGATAAATATACGTATCTTAGGTAGTTGGATAATTTCTAAAAAAAAAAAAAGAGGTCCTCTTCTCCTTAACTTTCATTTGAAATTATGATAATTGCTCCACTAACTTATTGACCCTCTCTCTTTGCCCGTTTTCCCCAGATGAATTCATAGTTATCTTTGTCCAGGGGTTATGAAAACCATTGTATTAGAATCCTCCAACACTCCAGGTTTATTCTCAATGTCAGCTTGTTTGAGATGAGGTAACATTCTTTCCAATGAACTGTTGCATTTTATGGTTACTTGTCTTGGATGGAACTTGCACCAGCTTGCTGGTGATTAGGGTTTACTTGATCTGGGATTCTTGCCTTCTACAGAGTACCATACGTGTTGGGGGAAGTCTAGTAGGAATGTGTGGAATTTCAGTATGACTCAAGTCATATAAAAGGCATGTGCTGTAGGTATGGGAAGGTATTCCTGTTAGTGCTGTACAAAGCATGGGATAAGTAGTTGCTATGTAAGCTGTTCTGATACTCAGAAATTGCAGAGCTGAACTTTTAAAATGGTTCTAAAGCTCTAATTTACTGCCCAGGTTCTTATGCCCATTTACTATTAAAATAAATGAGTGTTAGGGCACCTTTTTTATTTTAAATAATTGTGTAGGTAATTGATTCCTTTAATTCTTTTATTAGGCTATACATTCCTATCTCCGTCCTCTGCTATCCCTTTCCCATTTTGAATTGTCATTACACTGAATACAGTTAGACTCAAACATAACTTACTATAAAGGGTTTGCAAATTTTATTGTCTTCTTGTTATTCTGACCTTAAAAACAATAATAATGTTTCCTTAAAATTGTGTCATAAACCATTATTTTAAAAAGTAAATTATGTGACTCATGAACCCATTTGAGAAGCTAGGCATGTTTACTTATAAACAAGGATAGTATTTTTTTCCTGAGAAAGTGTTTTAAAGATATGAGTAAATTGTTTTTTCAGTTTTTTGAGGTCTGGTGGTTTTCTTCTGGAATAGTGGGACTCAAAGTTACATTTCATTACCAAGCGCTGGTTACTGCCTCATCCACAACTTAGATGTGAAGAAGATTAAGTCTGTATTGTAGCAAAAGGACCAAGACAAGAAATATATAGTTATCTCTGATCCGTCCTTCACACACATTCCAGTGAGGCTTGTTGTTTTCTCTTGTGTGAGAGTAAGGGGAATGGTTATTAGAACAAAAACAACCAGTCTGTCTTGGATAGATTTGTGTTACGAGACTTTATGTCCCAGGAGACTATAAATTTAGCATGCTGTCTGAAAGTTTCTGATAGAGCTATGAGATCCAGAGCATGACAGAAATGACTGGCCTGTTACTGATGGGAGCTACCAAACAACTGAGAAGTGGTAATCTCCCTGAAATATTTTAAACAAACTTTTAAACAGTGATGGGGGAATAGTTGAGCTGGAAAGAATAATGCCAAAGGCAGCTTTAACATGGTGGCTTTAACAAGTTAGCTCTTAACAAAGTTTTCGTTCCTTGTCAAGTTAACAAGGCTAACACCTTTCTACAATCACTCACTCATAATATTACTCTCACCTTCTGTTTTTTCTGTCTAATTTCTCTCTTACTCCAGTTTGCCTTTGAGGTTTCAAGCTTTGGGGCTGCTGGATGAATGTTAGACATACAATTTGATAGCTGTTTTAAAAAACATTCCCTTTTTATGCATTTAAACTGCTTGCTAAACAAGTCAGGCCCAGATCTGGGCAACGGTTTTGTCTGTGTGAGGACTTCTGTTGATGGTTTTGCTGTTTTGAGTGTTAAGGTCGGTAATGGTGAAAGGAAGCCTGGCTCTTTAAAGGGAGAATGCCATTCAGCAGGATTCTCAATCTGTTCTACTTAAACAGAGAGTGGCTGCATATCAAAAGAAAGATTGCACTATTTCACAATAGTCAATTGCTCTTAGTACTTAACCAGCTTTGGGACCTTTGCTGCTTCTGTAATGTGTGGCTTTCTGGAACTCAATTTTATTGGAATACCATCAGCCACTTCTGCAGCTGTAGCTCTGCCCCTGCCACGATCAATGCATTGCCACAAAGTATAATGGCAGAATCTCTGTCAGAAGACATCTGGTAGTACAGTCTTCATCTTCCTTGCTGGTCAAATGAGCAACATCTGCTTAATGCTTTAAATTTCATCTACCTCTTTGTGGTCACTGACAGTGTACACGTGCATGCTTCAGAGAGTTAAGTGATGTTCCTGGAAACTGACGGAAAGATTTCCTTTCCACTTGGGTCATACTGCTTCCTCTTATATTTCCATGTATCACAACAAAAACAAGCATACCTTCTGCTAAAAATGGATGTTTCCTTTATTTATGATGCATATGAATATTCAGAGGAGGTGGTAAAGTGAGTTATTTCTGTCTCTGAATGATCAGGATACAGTGCACTGTTGCAGTTCCTTTTCATAAAGATTGCATAGCAAGAAGGAACATTTAGGCCTGGGATTTTTGCCTACTCTGTCTGCAGATGTAGGACTGCAAAGGTGGCACTTGAGTATGAGAGAAACACAAATTAACTGATTCTTGTCCTTTTAAAACACACTAATGTATGGAGTGTGAAAACCAGGTAAATACTACGATATAATCACTTGAAGGGATCCTCCTGCATTGTTTAAATATGATAAATTAGTTTTTCCTGCCTCCTTTAAAGCTCCAGATGTGTTTGTGTGTGGGAAGGAAGATATGCTGCCAGAACCTGCCATGCTCTTACCTCAGCAGTTGAGCAGCTGTCTGGGAGCTCTTGTATCTGAATGGTAGAGAAGTCCTGAAGTTATTTCATGTTAGAGTGGTCAGAAAATAGGGCTTAAGCAGTTTTGCACACCTAGGTACTCATTTTTATGCATACTGTTGTGGCAGGAGAGGAATTCTGACTTGCTAAAAAGGAATTTAAAATCTAAAAATTTGTCTGTATCTTAGATTTGCAGAGCTCAATATATTTTAGGGCTTGGTAGAAATATATGCAGTTACTTATTTAGATGACCTAAAGAGAAACGATGATGAGCCTTGTGGAAAGATGGGGAACGAGGGAAAGGTGCTCTGGGGACAGAAGTGTTGGAATTAGTTTGTTAAGATAATTAAATTATCTGTTGGTCAAATTACTTGAGACTCTTTAGAGACCAAGACTGAATTTTCTTTCTGTTGGGAGCTGTAATCATCTAGTGAGGAAAGACTTAATTCTATTTTTATCTTTTACTCAATAAATACTTGACTGTAAAAGTTTTGTCCACTCTCCCAAATAATCCCAAATAATGAAACTGATCATGTGGATGTGGGAAACAAGACTGAATTTTTTTAACCCCTAGTCCAGTTAGATGGAGGGTGTGATCCATGGTGGGAAAAGTCTGAATGACACAGGCCAAGTTTTTTGTTTTTAAGAAACAAAAACAAAACTACCATCTGTTAGAGTAGCTCAGGTTTAGTGATTAGCAAGGGGAGTTGATTCGGGGAGTAGTTTAATTACTGAGAAAAAGGACTGGCAAAGACTGAAGAAAAGTGACTGATCTATCAGCAGGATGTATATGACTTTGTCATGTTGTTTCAAAGCTGAGGATGTCTGCATGTTTATGTTAACACTGGGTCTCCTTGTCCTTGGAACGAAATTGCCTCATCAGCAGAGCCCCTTAGGGGATTGAAAGTCAACCGGAGACGTCATCCTCCTCTTATAAAAGGGGAAAAACTGCCAGTTCTAGTGTCTCTGACCCCTCCCTCCCCCTCCCTTCAATTTACAGAGCATCAAGGGGCGGACCTTACTTCTGCAAACTTCACATCTTGCTCTCCCTTGCAGTATTCATTTTTCTCCTAGCAGTAATTTGATCTTGGACTATTCCAACTTGCCTGTAGTGAATAAGCAGAGAACTGCATTTTGAAAGACTTGAGTTTTCTCACTGGGCACAGATTTCATGATGCAAGGATGAGAATTTCTTGGAAGTCTTGAATGAGATTAAAGTTAAGAGATCCTCTTGGATTATTTTTTTTCTTTAACATATCTGTGTTTGTATAAAGAGAGGTCTTTAAGGGCTTGTAACTGTTGAGAAAGGGATCGACATGACACTGCTGGAACCAGAAATGCAGATGACAACACTCCAATCAGGTACCACTTCAAACATATACCGTGGCTAATTTTTCCTAGTGAATCATGGTTGCTGAACTATATAGGAACTGCCGGGAAGCTGTGTGACTTCAGATAAAGACAAATTAGAGAATTGTGGTGATTTCATGTGCAGGTTGCAGATGGGTACTTTTAGGATGTTAAATACTGTTCAATTTAGAGCTTCATCAGAGATAAAATTATCTCTCTTTTCTTCCCTTGTTGGTCTCCAGTGTTAAACTTATGTGTCTTATGAAGATTAGAAAGCTTCAGTCAAAGCTAAGACCTGTTCTAAAAACCTGTTCCTCCATTTAGCTTTTGACTGATTTACGTGGTTTTACTGTTAATTATTTTCTGATTAAACATATTTTTGATACTTTGGAGTGATTTTAAATTGCATGGTTTGGGAAAAACTTGTATTTGAAACTTTTCAATACTTGTTTTATATCTTGAAAGTTTGTTTCCTTGAGAATGACAATGGTATTTTGTTTACATGATTCATTTGTAAGTACTGTGGCCTTTTGGTAATACTGTGCTTACCCATTAGATATGTACAGGGTTGCATTTCTCACATGTGAGCCATGCAGGAATGAGAATTATCTGTAAATGGGAGCATGAGATACTTCTGTAGGGCGTTTTTATCTGAGGCTCTAGGACATTATGTAGTCATGAAAATAAATACATATATAGATATGAATGGCCTTTGCTTTCTCTGATGGGAACAGAGAATGTAACCTTCGTAAGATTTGACCACAAGCTTGTAGTAGCCTAGGAGTTTGGGTTTGTATACTCTTAATCTCTTGGGCAGCATTGTCTGAAAAGCAGCACAGAGGTAATGCCAAAAGTGTGAAGACAAACGTGTTCCTGAAAGTCAAATGCTTTTTCATTTCTGTAAGTAGTGACTAGGAAAGAGACAAGTAAAACAATAATTCTGTGGTTTAATTTTTCCCCAAAAATTGCTGGATTTTTTTTTGGTTATTTTTTCAGGGTTTTGTTTTTGTTTTTCCTGAATTGACAATGTTAATTTCCCTAAGTTAATTTTGTGTATTTTTAAGTATCTGTGAAGATTTTATATGTGTATAAAGATCCTGTATGACCTTTATCTTATAGTCCTGACATATTCTTTGCTGTCTAGAGAGCCAAAGTATGGATTTTTCCTGTCTCCAGGACAGACCTACATCTTATGTAGTGTTTGTGTCAATTCAGAAGAGGGTTTGTACATAATACATCATTCCTCCTGTTGTACTCTTGCAGTCTGTGAATTTTGGAGGAAGGGTTTAGACACTAACAAGGTGTTTGGTGTTGAACAGGATGCATATGGCAGGATAGTATCTAATCTGGCTTTGTTGGAAAGAAGGCTCTTGCGTGAAGGCCTGAAAAAAGGTGTTGATTTTAACATGCTTTGTTTCTGATAAGTTTTTAAATTTCCTCCCGCTCCCAACAAAGAGCAGTCATGAAATTTACATTTCAGTGTCCTTGTAACTGAAATTGTGCATAATATTCTCAGGAAACTCACATAATAAACTAACACTTGTTAAAATTAGGAAAACAGCCTTTATATTAGTATTGGTTTTTCTCAAAATTAGTGTGGCTGTGTTTCTTGGCTCTTCCAAATTATGGTAACTCCTGAGGCTTTCATTTAATTCTGAGGGCGAGAGTTTCTCCCACTAAGGAGTTCTTGAATGGAGCTTTTGCTCAAGTCAGCCAACCCTAGTCCTAGATAATGCAGTGGCGTTCTGCGGCATTGAGGCAATTTCCTGGTAAGATTAGCTTACCTAATGAGGGATAGATTTATTACACCTCTTCCATCAGTGGCCACTCTCTTCTCTCCTGGATCAACCACTGCTAGAAAAATCCTCATCAAGAAGTGGGCGAATGTTTACGGAAATGGATTCACAAGATTGGTGGGGAAATGGAGTGTGACAGCAGGAACGTGTGTGTAAGAAGATTTAAAGATCTGCCTGGAATAATGGAAGTGTATTACAAGCTTCTGGATAAGGAAAGCAGCTACTTGATGATGAGGCCAATTTGTTCAGTTGTAATATTTTGATACTTCATGTGTTGCTGGTGTCTGCTCTTGTTTGGCTTAGTGAAGTAGTTGTGTGTTGGGCAAACTATTTGAGACTTCAGAGGCTGAAATTGCATCTCCTGTCTGCTGAGAGCTAGAATGAGGAAATGAGGAAAATGACTTAGCTGAGGAGAGACTTAACTTCTCAAATCTTCTTGGTCCTGATGTTCATCTCCAGAAGCCCTGCTGGAAACATGGAAGATGGAAATAGTTGTCCCAGTCAACTCCTCAAATTTTCCAGTCATTGAAGAAATACGATAATCATGACCTAAGCTGGGTAAATAAATTATCCTGGTAGAGCTTACACAGCCTGCACTCCATAGACCAAAATTTCTTCAAGACTGCAGGTCATGAGGCTGTGCTTATTTACTGCTTGGGTATTAATGGGAGTCCACTCAAGAAGCAGGAGGATATGAAGCCATTCCTGACCCAGGACATATAATAATATGTCTGTATTCCATGTTGGTGGGCACATGCAAAGCAAATCCCTTGATACCAAAGATGAGAAAACATTCTTAATGTTTTGGAGAAAGAACTGAGGGGGACATTACAACTTTACTCTTCTGGGAGCAGGATAGTTTAAGCAGGGAGAGACTGTTTCTTCAGAACAAAAAATAACTGAAGCAAGAGTAACATGAACAGGGATGTGCATATTGTATTAACCAGAAAAAAGTCAAACATGCCTGTCAAACTGAAATAGAGGAGTAAAAAAACCAATGCAAGTGGTGACAGCGGAGGAAGGAGAAAGTGAAAGTGAAAATCAAGCTGAAAAGACATTCCAAAACAGCAGTAGACACAGAAAAAAATTCCAAAATAATACCAAAACCTAACTGCTCTATTTGACATCTCATTGGACTACTGAACTTATTTAAAGAACGGGTATTACTGGTATTGATTGTGGTAGTTTCACATTTCACATTGATTGACATTTGGGGAAGTAAACCGCTACACCGATCCAGTCATTCAAAAAGCAGCCATACACAGTGGGGTGAAATTCTGCATTCAGTTTCCCAGTGCATTTCACAGGCCAGCCCTGTGCTAGTTTGTGTGTGTTCATTCTGCTGAACACAGTGAAGCTGACCTGCAGATCTGTACCAAGCTCTTAGTAGCAGGAGCTCCCTCTTTAGGGTTTCTTCTCCAAGTCACTTGGTCTTTTTTGCTGCCTTGACTCTCTCAGCATCTGAATAATTTGTTTTCTTTATATTTATTTGTGGATTCCAAAAGCTTGCTGTTTCCTTCCCATTATCTACTTCTACCTAATCTTCTCCCTATGTAGCTTCTTTTTTTGTTCCCCTGCCTTTTTGTTATTTGTGTCATTATCTAATTATCCCATTTACAGATCTTGCAAATTCTTTTGCTGTTGGTCAGTGTTCAGTCAGGATATGGACTAAATAGGTTTTGTTGTTACCTGGCTTTGTAACAGACTGGCCACTGAAGGAATGAGTCATCAATATTATTTTTTCTTTTCCTTTTTTTTTTATGGAGAGGCAAGAGTGCTAGAAACATACTTTTTTTAGGACACAGACTACAATTTAGTAACACTTAAGTGTTTTTGAACAGCCATATGAGGGACTCATGCAACTGGGGGAAATCTCAGGAGTCTTGGGTATGCTGCTGGCCTCTGTATAGAAGTTCTGTGTTTAAATAACAAATTTTCAAATATAATTTCGTTTTCTTTTTAATTTTATTTGGTTTTGTCACAAGTTCCTTTTTACAGCTTCTAGCAGGTAGCTGGGCAGAAGTGCGTGTATAATACGCATACAGAGGTGCAATGAGCCAGAGAGAAACCCTAAATTTCAGACTTTTTTTTTCCTGATGTTTTGCATGGGTGGATAAGTGTTTTGGCCACTTAGGGTCATGTAGAATCTAACAGTGCATTGCCAGAATTAATGGATATTAGCACTTGGCCAAATGGCTGCTTCTGTTAATGAATTCTATTTCCTTATGGTTTTGCTCTACTTAAAACCTTTGTTTACTGTTCTGTGTAGCTTTGGTTTGTTACAATGCACAACGCTGTTGTTTGCACTGTCTTGGTATATATTGAATGTTAATAATTGTCCCATTTTAATCTTCTTTCTGTGAGTATACTGAAAAAATTTAAGATTGTTCAGCATAGGGTATTCTGTTGAATAGCATCTTTGGGGTTTGATAAGTGTGTTCTGTTGACCTGCTGAAAAAAATCTTAAAGTCTATTAGATATCAAGGCAGGTATGCAAACCCGGAAGCAGGTGGTTCTAAACTGTCAGAAGTTTGGTTTAGATGAACAAGAGGGGGTTCTCCATGTATATTTAGAGAACAAAAGAAGAGCTGTTTTGAAGTCAGCACTGTAAATGAGCACAGAAATAATTTAGTTCTCTGTCATGGATAAAACTTGACTTCTGTGGTCTAATTTGCTTTGCTTCCAACTGGTTCTGAAAAAGGAGCAATTCTTTTAGCTAAAAATTAGTGTCATTTTGAATCAAATGCAAAACTTCTCTCGTTTTCTGGGGAAAAGTTGGATTTTTGAGCTGCTTTAGCAGATTAGGGACATATTAAATTCAATTTAGGAAAAAGCAGTGCTGATCCCTTCATTCTTTCTTTGAAACCACAACTCCTAGGCTATTTTTCTTCCCTCTTTACAGGATTTAAGTTGAAATGCTTTAGGGATGTCAGCTGCTGAACTACTTTTAATGGGAAGAAAGGGGACAGACAGCATATCTGTGTATTCTTAGAAGGAACACGTCCCTTCCTCAGCTCTTTCAGGAGTGACAAATGTCAGAGCTGCAGTTTGTGGTTGGTGTTTTCACTCCTGTTTTAAATAAATTTAAAATTCAGTATTGACTTTTAGTACATGAGGAATGACCTTTCATTGAAGCAGTAAAATGCCGTCTAATTTCATCCTGTCTTTTTCAAGAACCAGTTACAAGGACTCTTTTTTTCCTTGCTATTGTTTTCA